TCGTATGTGTCTCCAATACATAAGATATCGTCTAAGTATATCACTGACAAATTTCCTGCAGTTCTAAGTTTCTGCACGACTGGTTTTAATATTTTTGTAAAAACATAAGGACTTGTTGACAGGCCAAAAGGCAAGCAGACGAACTTATATAACTTCTTGTTGAAATAAAATTTTAAATATCTTTGATCTGCTTTTCGAACTGGCACTGTCAGATACGCATCTGTCATGTCTATCGAGAACGTGTAAGCACCAGGCCCTATTAACTTGACTGCTGTCTTCATGTCTTCCAGTTTAAAATGTTTAGTCTTAATAAATCTATTTAGTTTTTTAAGATTTAATATAAACCTGGAAGAGCCATCAGGTTTTGGCACAGTGAAAAAACTTGACAGGAACTGCTTTCTTTCTTTTTTGGATTCCACCACTGCACCCTTTTAAATTAGTTTTCTTATTTTCTGTTTTTCATTTTCATTTTTTGGTGTTCTATCTTCAAAATATTTTTGCTTGGGTTTTATTTTGAATGGGATTTTATATCCTTTTATACAGTCCAAGATAAACTTATTATTAGTTATTTTACACCACTGACTATGAAATTTTTCTAATCTACCACTGACTTCGATACCTACGTCTTTATTTAAAGCTGCTACCCTCTGGGTGTCCTTCCTCGGCCCTGATTGTGGTATCCTCGAGACTGGAACCGGGAGTTTGATTTTTTGAAGTATAGCCTTGGTCGGCCCCGTTCGTTTGTATATGTATTGCCCTGGTTGTTCGAGTGGGTCCGTTGCTCGAACGGGCGCTTGTAGTTTCCCTGGTTCTTACTGCTGGGTTTTGAAGTTTCCTTCTTCTCATCAAACAGTGCTGCTGTTTCCTTAAGAGACTTAACCTCCTTATCCAGTTCTGAGCCAAATAAATATTTATCAACTTCGGATTTTCTTAGCACTTCTCTGATGGTTTTGGAATCCATAATTGGGATAATGCAGGCACGCCTTGACTGAGACTGTTTAAACTGGGCTTGTGCGAGTGACTTTGCTGAATCCATAAGCCTTTCAAAAAATATTCCTTGGTCAACTCCATCTTCTGCGCCCTCGTTCACCATTGTTATGGCAGCGCTTAAAGCAGTCAATGCCGCTGCTGATAACTCTTGTGCTTCTGCTCTATAATTGTCTTTCTTAATGACTTTATCATTCATCTTGTTTTTTATTTGTGGATTCAACAGTGGCGTCCTGAAAGCCTCAGGCACACTGTACTTGGATGTCAATTCGTCCTTTTCCTTCTCGGGTAAGCCTTTACGTGTGTAGAATCGAAGATTCTTGATCAGGTCAGAATGAATAACGGCCATTAATGCCTTCGTTTCGGTTGGATCATCGCCGAGGGCTGCCTTGAGTTTTGACATTAGCGGCTTTTCTGTTGACTCGGGTTTATCTTTAACATTCTCTGTAACAGAAACGTGAACATTTCACTGATACGAGCATACACTTTTGTCATGCTGTACATGAGAGAGCGGCCGTGCGTTCACACTAGCCCGCCTCTATGCCGCGCATTAAAAAGGTTATAATTATAGTAGACAGCGGTCGTGCGATTACACTAACGCGCTTCTATGCATATACAGGCTAGGTTCGTTAAACGAAGCGGCGGCCGTGCGACTACACTAGCGCGCCCTCGCTCTAGAATTCCAGGCACTATTTTACGCCCGAGAGATTAGCTATGCGATCGCATTAGCGCGTCCATTTTGTGTGAATTCCAAGTCGTGTGCCTTGGATATTCACTTTACTCATCCAGCATGCTATTTATCATGCCTATGTCTGCCGTCTTCGTCTCGCAATTAAAGAGATTTTTCTAGAAGAGTATCTCTTCTTAGCTTACCCTTATTCTCTTCTTTGTCCTTCGTCTTGCCGGTTGCATCCGGGACTATGATAAAGTCCTCATGTTCAGATGACTCCGATGAACTTTCCGATGGGTCGTCCTCGCGATCCGATGAATCGTCGTCCTCCGATGAACTATCGCTCCTATTATTTTCTTGCTCACGAATCTTTTCCTCCAACTCCATTCTTCTTCTCTTCAACTCCTCCAATTCCAACCTCGATTCATTACCTCTTTTCGGCATTTTAAAGGTTAGGTTAACACGATGTGCGTCTGGCGACAACGCAAGAAGCTACAAGTATAGTATAATCTCGAAAGAGCGAAGCGTGAAGTATAATCGACGTTGAGGAGACAGAAAGAATCACTTGTACGCGCCTGCCTTCAACGAGCTTTCATTTTATACATGAAATTAACAGAAAATCACTATTACAAATCGATTCGAGAAAAAAGCCTAAAAACGGCCCACCCTATTGCACGGGCAAAACACACTCAAAACTGATCGGTTAGGCTCTAAGTGTTTGTGGCCATAACCGAACTTATGTGTCGAACCAATCGTCGTGCCGCTCACATAACTACGACAGAACAGCAGAGTACTGTCATCTGTGCGACGCCAAGGAGACCTCGACAACATCGCACCCTGTCTATCATCTCTGACACAAGGCCAATTGCCAAGCTTTGCGAAATATCAAAATTTTGCGAGAGGATCGTTCATGACCAACTCTCGGACTTAGTTGAGTCGAACTTGATGCTTGATCCCAGGCAGGCTGGTTTCCGACGCGGTCACAGTGCGTAGACTACACTGCTTGGTGTTCTAGAGGATGTGCGTTTTGTCATCGACGAGCGTAAGGTCACTGTTTTGGTCTTGTTCGACTTCTCAAAAGCCTTTGATCAGTCCCTCACTATTTTTTACACGCAAAGCTGCGAAAGTTCAATTTATCCAACCAGGCGATAAAATGGTTCGCCTCCTATTTGCGAGGTCGCTCTCAAGCTGTCTTGAGCCCTGATGGGATCCAGTCGGAGTAGCTGTCCACGACTACTGGGGTCCCAGAAGGCAGTGTATTGGGGCCACTTCTCTTCTCGTTTTTTATTAAATGACTTGCCAAGCGACTCATGGTATCCAACCACATACTCTTCGCTGATGACCTCAAAGTGTACTACTCATTTTTCCCCAAGGACTTGAATAGCGAGATCATTAGGTTCAGCGATGATCTGAGTGCAGTGGCGGATTGGACAAGAGACAATCACTTGTCCTTGAACATGGTTAAGACTAAAGTGATGATTCTGGCTAGCAAATTCTTTATTGACCATAAAAGTTCAGATTTACGGCACTGAGCTTCCCTTCTCATTGGAGGTCAAGTTTCTCGCTGTTTTTGGCTCAGCCGACTCTACCCTCTCCATTGCAATTCTTCAGCGCCGATGAGCGCGTTTCACACTACGCATATGTGACCAACGTGGGAGTGTCATGTGCGCGGGGAGAGCTTGATGAGATCCTTCTCGTTGCGCCTGTGCCCCGGCTATCGGCTTCGGACTGTCTCGGGTCGACTGTCTTCACCGTGGGCGAAGCGGTGACGGTTTGTCGTTGGGATATATTCGCGATGGTTTTACAGTCGTCACCCCTGCCTTTGCTGAAGCTTCAACGTTTCTAATGAAGAGCGAAAATATCCAGACGTATGGAAGAGAACACTAATTGTGCCACTGAGCAAGAACTCCAGGCCCGAGACACCAGCTGACACTCTCCCAGTCGCCAATCTGCTGCACTTATCGTGCGTTTTCGACTAATTGATTGACCGTCAGCTCAGTGAATATTTGCTGCGTCTTCTCGGACTTACAGTCCGGCTTATAACGCGGCTTCAGTACATAAATATCGTTTTATTCTATAGTTATTGCCCGCAAGAGGACCTGCCGGCCTTGGTGAGATGTATGAATCAGGATGTGACGGCCATCAAGGACTCGGCAGATCGCAACGGACTCATGCTAAATATGACGAAGGCGAAGGCCATTCTGTTTGCAAGCTCCCAGCAGTGACACTTTTTCAGTGACTTGGACGTCCTCACTGATTTTGGATAACACTATCATCCCGCTAGAGAACAGGGTATGCAACCTGGGTGTCACGATGTCCAATGATTTGTCATGGGCCTCACACGTTCGTGGCGTGTGTTTGTGGGCCCATGGTGTTGTCCACCTCCTGCAATACAAAGCAGATATGCTTAGTTGCCCCATGAGGAGAATATTCGTGATGATCTTGATGCTGCCATTGATGAACTACTGTTGCTTGGTGTACCTCGAGCTACCGGATTACCTGGCGACCATTTTGCAGCTTGTTTGGCACGCGGCCTCGCGATTTTTTTGGCCTCCATCGTGAAGATCGACTGGCGCCTTTCCTCAAAAAAATGGGCTGTACCAGTCTTGAAGAGAGGAGAAGATTTTTCCTGGGCGTGCATGTGTACTGGGCTGTATCATTATGGCGTCCCCATTACCTCAGTGAGATGTTCCAGCGCCGGTATACGGGGGTGACGCCTAAGACCAGGAGCAGTTCCCTAGCACAATTGACGGTGCCAGATTCGAGCTCGGAGGTGTGGCGGTACTCCTTTTCCACCGTGTGCGCGAGAATGTGAAATGAGCTGTCGCTGGCGGTTTGCGATGCCGAATCTCCCTCGCTTTTCCGCATTCGATTGCGCGCCTACCTTGCGAGTCGGCGTTAGTCAAGCTAAATCGAATCGAAGATTTAAGCCTCTGCAGCATATTTGTTAGTTCACAATCTAACTGGGATGAACTTGAAAAAATTGTATCAAATCAAATCTTCAATTCATATAAGTAAGAGAAATATAACCACGTAATGTAACTTGTTCTCGTCATATCAAGGGTAAAAATAAAACATAACACGCAATCGATCATACATATTATCTTTACAGTAATAGACCCTAACGATACATATACGCGATCTTCAATGTCTCACCTGATGCCACGGTGTCATACAGCCTAATGCTATGAATATAGAAAAACGTTGAAAATATAAACCTGATATAATCAATATAAAAAATCTGTTTAAATTAATTTTAAAGAAATTATCAAGAACTAAGGTGCTGGTAACCCGTTGATAATAACTTAATGTATGATGTTTCAAGTGTTAATTTTTTTTACAGCTTTCATAATACAGTATTGTTCATTAACCTGTTTCTTCTGGTCAAATATTCTTTCAATAGAGACATATATACAAGTAAAGCACCAAATTGACCATAATAGCCATAAATTACTGAAACGCAAAGAAGAACAAATTCACCTATATTATTCACTTTGGGCATGGGGGCTTCCGATGATTTTTACTTTGTCATTGTGGGCATTAAAAAATGAGCCAAGTTTACCAAGAAATATATTAAAACGAAATATTCATAGTTATGATTGCTGTAAATACTGTGAGTAGTAAGATTTATTAGTTAATTTGTTTCAATTTTTAATGTATATTAGAAAAATAAGGTGCGATGAAAATTTTATTCATATTTATAATTTGAATTCAACTCAACTTTCTTCATAGGATAAAAATTCAAGAAGAGTCTGGTATTAGCAATTTTTCAAAAATCATAGACTCAAGACTGATTTTTTTTAAAAAGTATGATAGAAGATTAAAATGTGTCGCAGTGGATACAATAATCAATATAGCCTTAATACACCGTGATCTGAAACTAATTTAACCCCCCAAAAAGGCATGTAACCGACGAATTATGGAACCCAAGAAACTTTAAAAAATTAAGGTCAATATTAAACAAAAAAAAAAAATTAAAAATGCAGCTTACTTCAAAAGGACAATTGTAATCCTGATTATCATAAAGTCATTATACTTAGCTTTGTTTTTCGAATTCACACAAACCGTATGAAATTTAGACGATTGAAACCTCGAAAATGAGTTACTCGTCTTAAAAATTATGGTCAGATGTACGTCAGAATTGGGGCAATTTGTAGTATTTTTTATATTTAACCCATTAAGTCCCAAGAGGACGTTTTTTTGACACTCATTTCGGTCGCTGTATTTTTGATGAAAAAGGGGTCAAAAAAATGTGCGAGTAGCCTGTTCTTATGTAAATTTTGATGCCCTTTTAGAATCTGAGCTCAGATTTTCGGAAAAATAATCAGGTCAAAAGTTATGGTTGATTTTATCCAAAAAAAGCGTGATTTTGAAAAAAATTATTTTTTGATTCTCCAAACGGAAAGCATTTAAAATCTCATGGTTTTCGTACAAATATCGCGTCCTCGATGTCTAAACTAAAAGTTAGAGGGGTTCCGATACGAAAAAATAATGTTTGAACAAACAAAATGGTGGTCGGAACGCGAAAAAATGAAAAATAACTTCTAGAATTTTAAACTCGAAAACGAAGGACTTGAGGAAAAAATTTTATAGTACAAAAAGTGTTTAGAATTGATCAAAAAATACGCTTGATTTTTTTCGGAATTTTTGGAACAACTTTTGGATTTTTGGAAAAATGGTCACATCCAAAAATTCTGAAAAAAAAATTCACACATATTGTTTGATCAATTTTAAACACTTTTTGTTCCATAAAATTTTTTCCTCAAGTCCTTCGTTTTCGAGTTAAAAATTCTAGAAGTTTTTGATGTGAAACATCTGTATTCGCGTTTGGTGTCAGGGGTAAACCCGTAAAAACCGAGCGTCCGTCCGTCCGTCCGTCCGTCCAAGCGAGCGCAACTTTGGTAGTAGAACTGCCTTTACAGCGTCAGTTTGCGCTACGCGCTGTGATTGGCTGCCGCGTCAGCTACAGAACTGCTTTCTGCTGCTGCCGCTGCCGAGACTCGACGCGTGTATGCCTGTGTTTACGTATACGCACGAGGCAACGTAACAGCATAAGCAACAGCAGTCGGCTCAGCTCACGAGATTGACTGCGTTGAGATATCTTTCTCTCTCTTGCTTATGCGTATCGCTAATACATATAATACGTATGTGTTGTCTATGCATGTACGTCGCGAGACTATGCACTATCATGCACGTTGTCAAATCTGATACTTATTACTGCATATATGTATACGTGTCTATGAGTGTGTGTCTTCTTAAGGGAAGTCTAAATTATCATGTTATATTAAGATAAAGATTGAGGAAATTATTAAAACCCTTGGATTATTTCAAACGCAGGTATCAGTTCCAGGTTTATTTCGGACAAAAGAATCAAACTAAGGGTTATTTTGGATGGAACAAACCACTCTTGGGTTATTTTAGGTATTTAAGTATGCACTTGTGAGTTATTATACGACATGAATTCTTTTATGCTAGTTTTCCATGAATTTTCCAAAGCACGCATTTATCAAAAGTTTGAAACAATCCTTACCATACGGGACTATTGGGTTAATTTGGAGTTGAAGTACGTACTCTAGTTGTCATCAATCTGGCATTATTACAATCAAGTCAGTACGGATCGCTTTTTCTCTTTGACTCATGTATCACTTTAAACCTCCGTTGCTGCGCACCAATATTTTCAAGGCCGAAACCACTTCTGATCTACCCAACATGGAAATTATTAAAACCCTTGGATTATTTCAAACGCAGGTATCAGTTCCAGGTTTATTTCGGACAAAAGAATCAAACTAAGGGTGATTTTGGATGAAACAAACCACTCTTGGGTTATTTTAGGTATTTAAGTATGCACTTGTGAGTTATTATACGACATGAATTCTTTTATGCTAGTTTTCCATGCATTTTCCAAAGCACGCATTTATCAAAAGTTTGAAACAATCCTTACCATACGGGACTATTGGGTTAATTTGGAGTTGAAGTACGTACTCTAGTTGTCATCATTCTGGCATTATTATAATCAAGTCAATACGGATCGCTTTTTCTCTTTGACTCATGTATCACTTTAAACCTCCGTTGCTGCGCAACAATATTTCCAAGGCCGAAACAACTTTTGATCTACCCAACATGGAAATTATCAAAACCCTTGGATTATTTCAAACGCAAGTATCAGTTCCAGGTTTATTTCGGACAAAAGAATCAAACTAAGGGTTATTTTGGATGGAACAAACCACTCTTGGGTTATTTTAGGTATTTAAGTATGCACTTGTGAGTTATTATATGACATGAATTCTTTTATGCTAGTTTTCCATGCATTTTCCAAAGCATTCCAAGTAGAGATCGTGTTTCGGTACTTACCAATGTAAAATAGGTCACTCGCAAAAATTCGTACAAGTCCTCGGCCAGTGCAAATTTGGATTTCCCGTATCGCTGAAATTTGCAGGCGCGGACGACATTTTTCGGAGGCTTCTCGAATTTGCAGGCTGCGCCTGCAAATTTCAGCGCTACGGGAAAACCAACTTTGCACTGGCCGGGGACTTGTACCAAAAGTGGTCTAAGAGTTTTGATGGAAGGCGGCCAGCCGGGCAACGTGACGAGGTAGTGGACCTATCATCGGCTCGCGTGTAAGAGTTTAAAATCTTCGGAAATTCTGTTCTAGTAATTACTAAAACGCGATCTGGCCGGCCATCAGTTCCGGTCATTAGGCTTAGTCCCGGTGGCTGTGGGATCGCGGGGTAGAGATCGTGTTTCGGTACTTACCAACGTACCATAGGTCACTCGCAAAAATTCGTACAAGTCCTCGGCCAGTGCAAAGTTGGTTTTCCCGTAGCGATGAAATTCGCAGGCTGCGCCTTTGTTTTAGCGTCCTTGTTCCGGAGATTACTAAATTACAGTTGTTATAAAAATAAAACAATCATTTGATCTTAATATGTTTTTATTTGGTAAATAAAGTAACAATCAAGTCACAATTGACGGAAACTGTGCCTCTTAATTAGATTCGTTTCTTTCCGCTTTCCAAGCTCGTACAAGAACCCTTCTGTCTCTCAATAAAATACTATAATAATGTAACATGCATTTGTAATTGTCTTCGCTGCCCGAATCCAAGTATTGTACGTAATCTTCAAAGTCGAATGCCCTCAAATCCCCCAACGCTACGTTATCTTTGCACAAACCGCGTGTTGTAGGATACGTAACTATCGCTCTCGAATTCGTTAATCCCGTATACATACAAGGCACCGTAGGTAGATTTTTTCTGGATAAGAGTAACAAATCGTATTTTTCCGGTAATTTAACAGTCCTACGACCACCACGACACTTGGGCGCGTTCGGCTTGTGCGATTTGACTCGCGTGAAGTGTTTGGATTTTGGGATTTTCCGCCGTTTACGTCCTTTGGTAATTTCGACAACGGTGCCGCTCTCAGTATCATCGGGCACGACCGGCTCGCAACTGGAATCCAATGCAGTGTCATCTGTTTCAGTCACAGGGCCAACCACGTCCGTATCCTCGTTGCTCTCATCGGCGTTCGTTATTTCGAAGGTATCTCTGTAACCCGTATTGGAAATTACGGTATCATCGGATTCTGCTTCATCGTCGCCAATCGTAAAATCGGGTAACGACTGATCGATCGGCGGGGCGACCGAGTCCACAAAATTAATGTATTCTTCGGTCGTTTCATTGGCCTTGACTATGTTGTTGAGTACGACCTTACGTGCGTCGGGTTCACTCGTTCCTTCATCCGTAATCACGAAAGTGGCGATTTTTTTTCCCTCTTTACTGAAACGCGTGAATTAAAATTATATCGTCAGACGGTTTACTTATGCTTACGTAAATACCGATATCAACTTACTCGATGATTTTGTGTATGGCTCTCTGATCCCCCTCTATTGGACGTTCCGCGGGTACGGCCGCGACCACTTTCGGCCGCGCTTTCGCCGTAACATCAGCAATATCCTGTACAATTTCGGCATCAATTGAAGACGGATCGATGGCAGGGATAGGTCCGACGAGTGGCTTCAATGGTACTTCCGGCGACATTTTTGGATCTACCAAATCTTCGACCGCGTCGATGTAACCAGCGGCGAAAGCTTGCAGATTCCGATTTAATTCATTGTCTTCATTGGTGATCTGCAAAGTTTGCAGATATGCTTCGGAAAATTCGCGGGTTCCATATATGAACGCCTCATACGGTATGTTCACTGGTAGATCGACGGATCCAGATTGTTTCAGAATTTACTTACTAGTTATACAGCATAACGGCGAATATGAAGCCGGATGAGACGCAATACGGCTCCAAATACCGTAATCGCATTCGCGAAAACTTGTGAGCTATCTGTACAATATCGATCTTATTCAAGCTGGCCGGGGTCCTCGTCGGTTTATCCTTTATCAGGTCACAATTCTTTAGCCACGTGCTATGTACTTTGTGTAATTCGGCAGTGGTCATATACGAAGGTAAAGGTATTTCCCCGTTTTCGCTGTATTCGACCTTAAAATACGCTATCAGTCTAGCCACCGTCAGAGGTCGATTATTGAATTCGTTGACGTCCAATTTCAATCTGCGGTTGGTTTTTTTCTTCTGTGAAGTACTCGCCTTCGGCATTATGATGGTAATTACTAAACTCAAAAG